AGATAGAGGGGTGTATGGGGATAGATAGATAGATAGATAGATAGATAGATAGATAGATAGATAGATAGATTTCCCATTCATTTCAAACGACTAGCTTTGTCTATAACCAAGATGTGGAGTCTGATCAAATATGACAGCAATGGGAAATAGCTATATTGTTCCAAAACCAATGTCTTCTCTGGGGCCTATTCTTGAGTAAGGAGAGCAGCGTCGGGTTCATTTGATGTTTCCTATTTGGGGGACATATTACACCGTCGATTTTTGTTTTAAGCAGACTGGCCCCTGGCTTTGGGCCGAAAGACCCCAATCCTGTAGCTGGACTACTTGGTCGTATCCAAAATGTGTTAGGTACATTTGAAGTCAATCTATAGGCGCCTTCTCTAGCCTTAGCCAAGGCAGGCAGGAGACAGGACCCATCAGCTGGGCAAGGAGCTGATTAGTGGCTCACCTGCCATCAGACAAACACATGGATGTATCGTTACAGAAAACGCATTTAACGCTGAGAAATTATTGTTTCCTCCTGAAGTTTGGTTTGTTCATTTCAGGGCTAGTGTAAAAAAAGGAGGCCCAGTGCTTTGCCGAAAGCAGAAGTCTGATCTGATCCCAGACTCAGCCTTTCTAACCTTAATTTCCTTGGCTTCTGCGGGGTTCAGTTAACCAGGTCGTTTGTAGAGAAGACCTGAAAAAAATCCCAGGGCGCTGGCCCTTTCCCAGCCACCTCTCCAGAAAGGATCCTAAGGGTCTGTCGGGATAGGGCATCGTGTGAGCGATTAGTCACATCTGTCCTAGTGAAGTAGGAACCCCTCGAGTGTCCTGTTCCAACAAAGATCTCTCCGGCTCAGGGCTGCCTTCTCTCCTCTCACCTCCAGGATACTGGCGACTTGACAAGGAGAAAGGAAACCCATATCGGAATAATGCAGCTAATTCCCGGGGGCCGGGGGAGATCTCTTGCCCCAGTTCCTTTAGATCAACTGCACATTAAAACCTTGGAGCCGGAGAGATCGACATCAAGATAGCAAACGCTGATAGAAAGGTGTGTGGCTACGGATGCCCGCCGTACACCCACCCTAGCCAATCAGAACTAACGGGCTGGGGGGCTGGAGCCAAATATAATCTCCCCTTATGCGTGAATTGGGCTTGGAATTTGGATATCACATTAAAAAATCTATATTATTTAGTTTCAATGTATATAGGGATGGTTATATTATTAATAGGGTATATAAACAGAAACACATCCTATCTATGCACACTATATTTATGATCTTTAATTAAATTATATATATATATTTATAATTTACAAATACTTACTTAGATATATAATTTAATTAAAGATAAGTATTTATAAATTATAAATATATATATATATATATAATTTAATTAAAGAGAATAAATATAGTGTGCATAGATAGGATGTGTTTCTGTCTATATACCCTATTAATAATATAAATATAACATATACACACATATATAAATTTAGAATTATATATATTATATATATATAATTAAAATACGTTTATAAATACTTCTTTATTTGTTTTATATATAACAAAATTATAATATATGTAATATATGTAAATATCTTGTTCTTCATATTCATATATTTCTATTAATAAATGGGTTTAACATGAATGCAAACCCCTTACTAACATAAATATAGAATATAAAGACTTCTCTCTACATATATCCCATCACACATATAGGTCGAAATAAAACCAACGATTTATTTGTATTACCGGACTAGAGCTGAAAACAGGATGTTTGTTTTCAGCTGGCATTTCTCAAACCGATGCCTGCAGATTTGCAGACATGCTATTAAAAGTGCAGGGCCTAAAAAATAAACCTAAAAGCCAGTCGGAGATGAATAGGCAGGTTGAAGTTTTTATATAGTACAGTCTTTGTCAGAATTTCTCATCGAAAGTTTGAGATGGGATCCAATCCTGAATATCGGTTATTTTCAGACCCACCCACACAATAGAAATATTTCCCTCCTGTCAATTACTTTAGCATGACATTAATTATGAATCAGGATGATTTTTTAAAAAAAAATCCCGGTATTTGTGACTGCTTAAGGGATGTAATCCTAAAGGATATATAAACTCCCTGTGTCGATAGCTCTGCCTAATATGTCTGTCTACTCCACATCTCTCTCTATAAAATTGCGAAGTGGAAATATTTCATTTTTGGATCTCTTTCAACGAGTTAAACCAGAGTACAATAAAACAAGAAAGAATCAGCAATTTTAAACACATCCTTCCTTTTCCCTTCCCAAGTATACAAGGCAAAATAACAGCGAAACACATAGACAATGACCAACAAGCCATTAAGCCAAAGCTCTTTCTTTTCTGATCATTTCACAGAGCATTTCCCGAGCCTGTTCAAATGCCACAGCAGAAAATAATAATCGTTTCATTTTCCGTCGGAAGATAAATAAGTAACCCTTCCCAACCGATTTTCCTCTTTGCCTTCATAATATTTCGCACTTTTAGAAACATCAGCAGAGAATCTGATCGAATTTGCGTCTTTCGGATCGAATTTGTTACTAGAATAACATGGGGGTGGTGAATCCTATAATTTTAATGTCTTAATTTCCACTTCTCCTACGTAATTTGTGCTGGTCGTAACCCCTGTCCTAGAGTCTTTGTTTAGAACTGTGGATCTAACGGGAAATTTGTACCCATTGATCCAAGTATTAGTTCATTTCCCCTCCAGGAGCAACAACAACAACAAAAATAGAATGAAATAAAACATTATTTTGGAGTTGCTTCTTGCTAGCTAGGTTCAAACAGGGCCTTTCCGATTAACTGGCTCCATAGCAAAACCAGATCCCGATGAAAAGGAACAAAACCAATCCTACCCAAACCTATACACCCATCTCTATACTTCGCTTCTGCATCTGCCCCGAAGAAAGGGTGGTTAATCCTGCCTTCTCCCTGCAGCATCAAATATCCGGCTGCTTTGGGATGAATTTGCTCAACGAAATTTCCCCCAAAGAAAAAGATCCGTCCCTTCCCCCCGGCCTCCACCCACTGAACAACTGAGAATTGTTTTTAATTTTTGTGGCGCATTTTTACATATTGCGCAACAAACGCGAAAATGCTCTCCACAAGGAAGCCCTGGAAACAATGCGCCAAAAATACAACGCTTTCCCCTTTCTAGATACACACCTCTATATACTCACCATTTGCTTTTCATTGGTAAAAGTGAGTGGAGCCATTTTGTGGCCTATTCATTGCTGCTATATTTCCCCCCCCCCCCTCCCTCTCTCTCTTACGGTAGTGCTGGGTGGCTTCACTGGAGCAGGATCTAATTCCACATCACGTCCAGTTTCCTATTTAGTATGGAGAACGGAACACTAGAGCAATGTGGCCAACAGAGATAAAGCCCCAGCATTGGCCCGCCTGCCCTGATAAGCTTCTAAACCCATTATTTATGAAATGATTCATTATTATTTGGCAATTTTATCGAAGGAAAGCGGGA